TTTGAAACCCCACCCATAGGTGGAGATTTTTCCGTAAATATTTCAATTTTTACTACAAACTAAATGTAATTTTAGAAAACTAGGCCAAACACCATTGATATGCTCAACTTCACCTTCATATAATCCAGAATAGTGTTCAGCTGCTTCGCGGCATCAGCCATTCTGTAATTAAAAGCTATGGCCAATATGACACTGTCTCATCAATATTCATTATAAGCTATGGCCATTATGACACTGCTCTTTAAATAACTCATTTTAAGCTATGGCCAATACGACACTGTCTCATATCATTATTCATTCTGAGATAAGGCCAATACAACACTGTCTCATATTATTATTCATTTTAAGCTATGGCCATAAATATTATGCTCTTTCATTAATTATCATTCCTTTTATCATTCTTTTGGTCATCATTACATGTATTTTTAGCACCAGTGTAGTTATTATCAGCATCTGCTATTGATGTGACTGCACAATAAATTCTCTGCACATATTTGCATTTGACTTAATCCATTAGATCTGTTACTATCTCAAAATGATTTGATGGATTGTAGAGGTAGAGAGCTGGTGCATCACTTAAATCCTGCACATGCTGGCCAGCCATTGTAAGTGGAACAGTCCAGCTGTTATTAATCTACTCCACAGGTTGAGATCGACATCTTCGTCAATTGTTAATCACACACCTGGACTCATCTTTGAAGTCAAAAATAGATGTTTTCAGTAAATGCACCACAGTATTTACCTCAAAAGCGGAAGCCCAACTGGTGTCTCTAGCCATTCTGGACCTCTCAATGTAGGAGTTAATTGTTGCTAGTGTATCAGGAGCATTTATATCATACTGTGTGCTTTCAAGGCAATAGACAAACAAATGAGAATTTGCTCTTAAATATTCCACCACTATGGAGCGAATTTCTCTGTGTTGCTGTTAATTTCCAGTTATGACATGGAAAATTGATCTGCAGAAACAATTTCTATCACCTTGGATAGGGATACATGTCTGAATGTTTTGACACCTGAGCTGCACATCAGGTCCTCTGTGTCTCACACCATTGTGAGAACAAAAGCATAAACCAAATCTCTGACAAGTTTCTATTTGCCAGTCTATTCCAACTTGATTGTATACCCACTTGGACCAAGTTTTGGTTGGGTTATAATGAATAGTGGTTGATGGCCGAGGTGCAGATTTAGCTTCATCATTTAAGCAATCTGCACTTTGGCTATTGATGTTACCATCATTGTTATTGTTACCACTATTGTTAACAACAGGTGGTTTCTTGAGACAACTATTTTCCTTACTGTCTGATGGCCTACTTCTCTTATCACCAACTACATTTGGTGGTTGCATTTTTTTTTACTTTTTGCTTGTGGCTCATCAATAGTTCCAGTAAGTGTACTAGTTCCAGCAAGTGTACGCTTTCTACTACCACAATCTTTAGTAATGGCATATTTTGGGAGGTCTGGTCTGTACAATTGTCTCAACCTGTTTATTTCTTTTATGCTACAAGAGGAAACCATTAATGATTTGGGGTTGCATTATGTTAAATGGACACCAGACAGCGTTCGTACTTATGACAGAGCAACGTAAGCCATTCCTGCACGAAATATGTTGTCCAACAAATCAATGATGGCATTATTTAGTGACAGTCCTTGGCATTTGTGTAGCTAATATCAAAGGAAAGTGGCTCCTATACACAAAGACATTTTTCATTACCATAAAATTTCTCTTGACTTTTTCAATCTCACAAGGATTAGCTAGTTAATTAAATTTAACTGTTATGCATGTTCTTGAAATGGCCTGCACTGTACCAAGTGCGCCATTTACTAATCCCTTTTCAACATTTACATTACAACGCAACATAACTCTAGCCCCCACAGCCAATTTTAATTTGGCTTCTTAACCACCAATATTGTTAATAAATAAATAAAAATTTCTATTAAATGAGAAAAAGTAGGGTTGTCAAAAATGAAAGAAACAAGGGGGTTGAGTTCAACCATGATAATAAGAATAGTTCAATTAATAATAATAAACGTTAATTAATCAAAAATAATAATTTATGAAAATAGCACAAAGATTTCAAACCCTACTTTGCAGAAAATGGTAATAGGCAGAAATAGAATTTTAACACTAATTATGCCTTTGTACCTATTGATTGCTCTACTACATTTCTATGATGTACATTAATTATCTTGTTAAATATAAATTAAACTTTTCAGCTAGTATTGATTCAATAAATTACTGTCATGACAATTAAAACATCTATATTATAGATAATTTCTTGGCTATTGCAATTTTTAATGTTTGTGATTCAGTACAATATCTAAAAAGTAAAATATTAATGTATGAGAATTGTAATTGGACTTGCCACAGTTGTGTAGGCTGAAACTAAGCAGTTTGGTTATCATTCTTTCATTAAATATTTTCATTTTAAAGGAAACAATACTCATTGATAAAATTCTTCAAAGTAGGGTTTGAAATCTTTGTGCTATTCTTATGACTTATTTTTTATTAATTAACGTTTATTATTATTAATTGAACTATTATTATTATTATGGTTGAACTCAACCCCCTTGTTTCTTTTATTTTTTGACAACCCTACTTTTTCTTATTTAATAGAAATTTTTTTTTTATTTACTTGTTTCCATACTTTTTATTAAATTTTATTAATTAATAATCCTTTTTATCAATAATTATTAATAATTAATAATTATTGTTGTTATTACTGATAAAAATTTTGAATAATTTATGACATTAATTTTTTGAATTATTGAATCATTAATTATATTCATAGCCTCGCTTTTAATTATTCATCATTATTAATTAATTAATAATCTTTTTTATTAATAATTATAATTTTTGCCTTAGGTATCAGTTCATTGCTGGAAGAACAGAATTTTGAAATAACAACTATAAGAAGACCTACCGCATTATAAAAACAGTCGTCATACAATAATTTTTTTAATTTTTGAATCATTAATTATATTCATAGCCTATAATAGCTCATAATTATTAATCATTATTGAACATTACTAAGATCTATTTCCTGTTCTAAAATTATTTAAGTTTACATTCAGCTTCAGTTGCCATTTCTCCACTCACACTCACAGCTCCCGCTTAACTTTTCCTGCAGTTTTGCAATCTTTGTTCTCTAAAAGCAGCAAGTCAGTTCATTTACAAAATTACATAAGCTATCATTATATTATCTATTGTTTAGTAGTATATGGATTATGATGAGTATAATGGCGGACCACCATTAGCTGGAGGGCCTCCACCACCACCACCTGCATGAGGCCTGCCACCACCAGCTCTACCACTAGTAGATGGAGGTCTGCCACCTCCAGTAGATGGAGATGGAGGGCCTCCACCACCACCTCCCGGAGGCCTGCTACCACCACCAGCTCTACCAGTAGCTGGAGGTCGGCCACCTCCAGTAGCTGGAGATGGAAGGCCTCCACCACCACCTCCCAGAGGCCCGCTAACACCACTAGCTCTACCAGCAGCTGGAGGTCAACCACCTACAGTGGCTGGAGATGGAGGCCTCCACCACCACCTCCAGGACTCCCAAGAGCTGGAGGCCCGCCACCTCTAGTAGACGGAGGCCCACCAGTGCTCCCTCCTGGAGGAACTCCTCCTGCCCCAGGACTGCCTTTGCTGCAACAGCAAAGGCAGCACATAATTGCCCAGCTCAGGGCTGTGAACAGACTAATAGTAAGTCTTTACTATGATGTACTTAATATTATATTTATATTCCGTAATAGTATGCCAATTTACCAAGGAGAGCTGGCAGTGGTGGAGGTAGAGGCCGTAGGCCGAGGTCCTGATGGGCCTCAGTCAAGAACTATAACTTTTATTAT